AATTTTGGATTGGCAGCACCTAGTTTTGTTCCATTCTGTGGGAGACATTCCTTCTTCCTTGCCATTTATAGAGCTTGCCTGCCCACGATGCAGTTCTAGCCCCGCATGAAAAGAGTGTCAGTGGAAGAAGAGTGATGGAATATCACAGGCAGCTTTGTCAGTCAACATACCTAGAAAACAAACACTTCCCCAGGACAGAGGGAGCTGCTTTTCAGTGTTCTGGGAGGTGATAATTGAGTGACAGATAGTGCTGCTATTTGTGTGGCCGGTGGGATTGTCCTTCTGGTGTCCCCCACATCTCTCCTTTGTTTGACAAAGCAGAGATGTTGCTTGGTCATGTTACAGGTCTGCTTTGCACTGGAACAGCATTTAGTTGTGGCTGCTCTAGGAGGAATCTAAACACAAGGTGTGGAGCTGTCACCATCTGCCCTGGAGCTCCAGCAGCAGGAAGCATAGCAAGGAGTCTTGTAGAACTGTAGTCAAAGAAGACAGCAGTAGGCATTAGGTTTCTCGCTAGGAAGGAGATCAGGTTACTCTGTGTTCTTGGTCCTTGTAGCAGACCTCTTCTTGCAAGGTGTCATGCCATGTCTCAGCCCAGCTGTCGTGGCATATAGCATGACTGAAAAGAGGGAAGCATGAACTGGGGTTGGAACTGTCAAACTGCTGCAAGGAAGACAAAACCAGTGTGTAAGAATGTGGGAAGCAAATACAGTGTGAATGGGGGACCCATCCCAGACAAAGGTATGAGGGAAGGCAGCCCAAGGAGAGCTGGATGGGTGCTGTGGGACTAGCACAGGTCAGGTATGTGTGGTGCCAAACCATGGCTGGGGTGAAGCCCCTTAGGTTGATCTTTATGTTTGGCAGTTCTTGCTGTCTCCCTGCTAGTAGCATGGTCCTTTTCCTAATCTCATCCTGTTCTCTTCCCAGGACATGATCCATATTGCAGACACAAAGGTCGCTCGACGCTACGGGGACTTCTTCATCCGCCAGATCCACAAGTTTGAGGAGGTGAGGCCTGGGCCGGAGAGCTGTGTAGCTCTGTAGGAAACATGGGGCAGTCACTGGGCTGTGCAGGCCCTCGAGGGTCCACATTTGTGTGAGACAGCTGTGTAATTCCATGCTGGACTTAGCCCTGGCTCTGCAAGGCACTAGGCAAAGGCAGATGTTCTAAGCAGCAGCTGCTGGCCTTTGAGGAATGGTATGTTTTTGTGAGAAGTACTCAGTTGAGCCACAGTGGAAAAGGAGGAGAGTTTTACTATTCAGGAATGCTGATTCCATTGTCTCTAGATAAATGTGTCCCTGTCAGTAACACAACCAAAATCATATCTCTAACTTCATAACTGTAGCTCTAGAAAATGGCCTCAGAGATTTCTGGAGCATAGATGGCTTCAGCATTGAGCTTGGCCAAGAGGTGACATTCTGTTTCCACTCTCTGCCAGGGGAGGTTGTTCTGCACTGGAAACTCAGAGGGCAAAATTCTGAGATTTGGGGACTTAATTGAGGGTTGCGATACTGCTGCTACAAGTTTGCATCCTCTCTTCTCCCCACATCTTCCTGTGCTAGCTTGGAAAGGAGAGAGTTCTACTTATTCCCCTTTTGCTTGACACACTGTGAGAGCTCAAGAGCTCTCTTGTCAGAGAGTTGGAGAGGAAGGAGTTAAGAGGCCTTGGATAAGGTCTGCTGAGGGGAGCAGCAGTGTGTATCAATCACTGTGTATTTTTCTGACCTTTGCTTTCTCTAATTCCAGCTGAACCGAACATTGAAGAAGATGGGCCAGAGACCCTAATGTGGATGCACTGCAGGCCTGGGCAGAGAAGTGGGTGGGAGAGATTATTCTCTGTGTCGAGGGAGGGGAGCTCGGAGTTCTGGCATTTCTGGAATCTCCTGTGACTCAGAAGGTATTTTGTATTTAAATATGCAGACTTGTTTGGCTCAAAATATCCTACAAAGGACAAGGCATCTAATAAATTAGTGGAATTTTCCTGATGAACATTTGTACTCATTTATTTTTCCTCTGTATAAGAATATAACTGCATCTGGAGACATGGGCAGCTGCTCTTGGCTTGGTGCTCTTGTTGGTCCACGTTGCAGGTAACAACAGGGAGCAGATCTGTTTAGGTGCTCTGTACATTCACCCTGCACAGCAAATGGGAAAGGCTGATTGACAGGAAAAAAATGAGCTGTTCTACAGTGTCTTCACAGGATTTTGGAAAGAGATGTAAGCTAATGCTGTTCCTTTAGCTTTTACCCCATACGGTGAATAGACCTGAGTTGTAGTTACATTCTTAGAAGGTTACTTTTTTGCCTTTCCTCCCCTCTATTTTATTTTAGTTGCTATGGAGTAGAAATGCTCCAAAGTGAATTGTCATGTTTTTAAAGGAGAGGGGAGAATTTTTGTAAACATTGAACCAATATTAACTAGTCATCTGATGAAATGTCCTTGCTGGAGGATGTGTTTTATTTCAGCAGAAGTGATGCCCGAGACCTGGCCCTTAATTAAATTGAGTTCAGTTTCTCTGGAAAACTCCCTAAGGGCCTTTAATTTATTAAAACCCTTTAAATGCAAATTTTCCCTGCTCTCCAGCTGCAAATTTGTAGTGCTTTGAAAAATGGGGGAAAAAGTTGAAAACAAGTCAAGGACCTGCAAGTATTGGGGAAGAGAATGCAAAGAATGAATCGCATCCCTCCAGAGCCTCTCTCCTTTTGCCATCTTTAAATAGTTTGGTGTTTGAGTGGTAGAAACAGGTGGAAGAGGAAAACCTGCGTGTGTAATAGAAAGCTACACAAAGTGTGTTTCAGATACACCATCTGCCTCTTTGTACCTCTCCCTCTCATTCCTTTCCAGAGAGGTGTCCTAGCTGTCCAATTTGGCTCTGTGTATGATTCTGTTTAAACAAAGGGAATAATTAGCCTTTGTTGGATTATATTCTGTGTTTGAATGAGGGTCAGGTTTCCAGTGTCCTAGATACTGCTCAAAAGTAAACTCTGTTTCCCATCACAAAGTAACTCAGGCAGTACAGGCAACACAGTGAAATTAAAAGAGCAATTCCTGTTGGCTGCCTAGCTGCTGGAGTTGGTGTTATGGATGCTAAGAGCTCCCTGTCTCCAGTTCTGGAGGGTTTGAGGCAGCCATATCATTAAGAAATTAAAGGATTGAGATGCCACTGCATTGCAGCAGCCCATGGGGAGCTGTGTTCATATCAAGCAGAATCTGCTCCTTTTTGATTTTAGGGCTGGCACTTTTCCTTCTGTGTATTTGCTAACAGCAGCACAGTAAGCATACCTGTCAACAGCAACTGCCCTACTTTCTTTCTATCCAAAGCCCAAATCTTTCCCAGGAAGTGCTCAGGTGGATGTGATACACAACATGAGAACCCTGACAGGTATCTCCATGATCAGTTCTAGTTCATAGCATAGCAAAAAAATCCAGCGTGTTGCTGGGATTTTAATATCTGCTTGGCATGTCAGAATTACAGATTTTTAATGCATATCTGTATCATCTGAAACACTCCAGTGGTTACAGGCTGTTCTCAGGTCTGTGAATATGCTGCTGCTTTGTTTCCATCTGCCAGAGCAGTTTCCAAAGGGTGCACAGAGCCCATGCACTCATGTCCCTGGCTCCGCGCCTCCTCTGCGGGACTGCCGAAGGTTAACTGAGCAGGACTGGCACTTGGTGGAACGAAGCCAGGAGGAGCTTGCAGCTCTCGCTGGGTGGAAAGATGGGCTCAGTGAGCTGCGGTGCCTGGCACTGCTGGAGGCTGGAGGGTGTTCAGCAGCATCAACAGAGTTCCACTGGTGCTGGGAAGGCACTCCAGAGGGAGGTGGGGGTGGCTAGAGCTCCAGCCTCGCCTGCTGCAGCAGTGTTTGGTGAGTGGAAGTGGTTCTGCACAAAATGGTTTTGTCAGAGGGAACCACAGTACAGGGGCATGTGCTCTGTGTCTGTCTCTGACCTACAGTTGTGAAGGGGTGAGTGTAATTACGGAACCTGGAAAATTCAAGAAAACCTCCCTCATCCTGCTGTCCCTTAGGATACATCAGGAAGACCCTGTCAGGCGGCTTGGGGGATGCTGAATAGCCAGCACAGTAATTACAAGACTGACACAATGTTTCATTTCCTTTTTTGCTTACAGAGTAGTTTTTCTTGTGATTTACGCCACAGCTTATCTCGGGCACAGAGCGGGGAGATTGTACAAACCAGTCAGAGAATTTATTTTTCACTTGTTACAGTTCTGGGATCATAGAATGATAGATTGAACAGCAAAGTAGAGGAAAGAGGGTACTACTAATGAAATCTGAGTGAAGGAAGGAGTGTAGAGCCCATACAAAATAATTGCAGAGAATGGACTCTTAAAGATTTGGAACTGGCAGCAATAAGCTCAACATCAGTGTGATGGTTTGGTCTTCCACAGAGGTAGCTGTTGGAGGTGAAAAGAAAGCTCAGCCCAATAAAATAGCCTTTAATAGTGTGCTTCCCCGCCTTGTCAAGCCATCGCCCCGAGCGTGCACACCAGCTCTCGTGACAATCCATCGCCTCGATGTTGTTCCTGAGATTGTATCGCACTCTTCCTCCACGTCTTCCAGGGCTTCCTGTGAAGCACTGCCTGTGACTCCAAGTGTCTTGATCTTCAAAGCTCTCCTTGGCCCTGAGCCTACCCTGGGAGCCACCTACGTCCCAGATGTACTCCACTGCTTGTGCCCCTAGGACTGCTGAGAACTGCTTCTGCCTGGAGCAGCCTCTAAGCCTGAGAGGGTTTCAGCAATCAGGCTGCCGAGTGGTTTTTAATCTCGTTGAATTTAAGTTGTGCTCAGGCCCAACTCTTTCCCCGAGGTGGGAGAGGGTGCTCTCCCAGCAGGCCGCCCTGCTCCCCGGGAAGCGCCGGGCCCGGGGGCGCGGGAGCTTCCGCGGCGCGTGCGGGCCCCGCCCCCCGAGCCCCGCCCCGGGAGGCCCCGCCCGGCCCGGGCTGGCGGCGGCGGCGGCGGTGCTGGGAGCGGCCGCCCCGATGTCGGGTCCGCGGGGCGCCCTGCAAGCCTGGTGCCGCCGGCAGTGCGAGGGCTACCGCGGCGTGGAGATCCGCGACCTCAGCACCTCGTTCCGCGACGGACTGGCCTTCTGCGCCATCCTGCACCGCCACCGGCCCGACCTCCTGTGAGTGCAGGCCGCGCCTCGCCGCCGCTCGGACGGGGCGCCGCGGGGCCACGGCTGCCGCCCGCGGGCGCTGCTGGCAGGAGGAGCGGGGTCGCGGAGGTTTGGGGCGCGGGACCCCCGGGACCTCCCTTTCTGGAGGGGTTGGGCCGCCTGTGCTCAGGAGCGATCACGGGGGGACTCACGGGGGTTTGGGGGGATGGAGGAGCTGTGGGAAGCGGCTCCAGGCTGGCTGGCAGGGAAGCTCCCTGAGCGGGGACATGAGGGGCTCAGAGAGCGGATGTGTCTCTGTTGCGCTGATGTGCTGGTAGGGGATGCACTGAAGAAGATGCTGTCGAGAAATAGTTGGGTACTGGGAATGAGGAATTCCACATTCCCAGGCAGTGCTGAAAGCCAGATTGTATGGAGCTCTGAGCATCTTGGTCCAGTGGAAGGTTTCCCTGCCCATGGCAGCAGGGTTGGAATTAGATGATCATTCAGGTCCCTTGCAAGCCAAACTATTCTATCACTCTGTGTTTCAGCAAACGACCTCCTGACCTGGTCCTGCAGACCTGTCAAGGTCAGGGTTAGCATAAGTCATGCAATATAAGGGTGGTGAGAGCACGGAGGTGGACTAGGTGCATGTGCCCTAATGGGAGCGGTGCCGACCAGAGAAGAGACGTGGTGTTGGTATCTGGGTGTGGGGGTGTTTTGCCTCAGCGAGAGGTGAGCTTTCACACTTCAGGAGGGCCAGAGGCCTGTCCTGCACAGGGACATTCCCAGAGGCAGCCACTCAGAAATCTGTAGAGGCCTGGACCAGGTTGCTGCTTGCATTTGCTTCTAGCTTGCTTTCTCTGGATGCCACAGTGAAAGAAGGAGGCAGCAAAAGCCAGCAGGGGTGTTGAGCCTCTCTAGCCTCCCCCAGCTTGGGTATCTCTGGGGGGGAATGTGATTTTCAGGAAGCAGACAGTGAGTTTGGGATTGCTTGGGGGCGCTGTGTCAGGCTGGAGAAACTGGCTGGGCCGCTGGAAGGAATCTGCCCCGACCTGTGCTGTAACCCTGTGTGCCCCGGTGGTGCTGGGAATCCGGCGCCCATCTGCTCTAATCCCTGGAGCCCTTGCAGGGCAGGTAGGCATCGCCCCAGCTCGCTGTGCCTGCGGCATGCACACACTCCTTGGCCTGCCCTAAAGCCGGCCAGGATGGTGTGTCCGTCACGTTCTGCTCTGGGGTCGGTGGTTCTTCCTCTGAGGCTGCCCATACTGACCAAGTTCTCTTTCCTGAGCTGGCCTCAGGAACGCCTTTTGCCGTGACAGCAACCTCTGTCAGGCAGAGGGTTGGCTGTGACTCCACTGTGGAGCTGTGGTGTCCACGAGAGAGTGGAACAGGCCGGTGTCCTTACAAGCTAAAGCTGAGCAGGTAGGCTGGAAACTGAGCTGCTGCCTGCTGTGTTTCAGGTGGCTGCCCCAAAACCCTCAGCATGGTGTTCTGGAATAATTGAGAGCCAAGACATATGGTGTCTTTGCATCAATCTCTGGGTCTTGAAGGAGCTGTGTGGTCTTGTGTCCTGCAGCTCTTGGATGGTATGGCTCACTGACTAGCTAGAATGGAGCCTCTGAAAATGGTCCCAGTGACAAGGCTGTTGGGTGGGAAGAGGCAAATTAAGGACAAGAACACATGCAATTATTATATTTTTTTGTAAATGGCACAGCAGCTGGGAACTGAAAAGCAGAGGTTCAGTAAAAGCTTATGATAAACACCACTAAAACCACCTGATGGTTTCCCATTAACCATATTTGCCATCCCATTAAGGCAGGGGCCGCTGCTCTTAAGTTGTCAGTGGGCTTAAATCTGCTCCTGGCAGATGTCCTAACTACGTGCTTCACAGGTCCTCTGCACGAGCTGCATTGTAGAGACAAGGCCCAGGGCCTTACAAGGACATGGCATGTTGTAGAAGGATTTTCAGACCGTCAGGAGAGCAGCATCATTTCATCTGATTCCAGCTTCTTCAGCCTGTCCCAATTTGGAAGTGGGAAGATTGGATCAGAGGCAGTAAATCTCCTGACGGCAGAGGAAAAGTGGTTGCCCTTCTTTTCTTCTAAAGTGCTTTCAGTCAGTGCAGTAATGGGACTTGGCAGGGATCTGCAGTGCCTTTCTGACCTTGTGTGGTGTTCCTTTGTGCGGGGCTCTCCTGCCTGCACAGACAGCTGTGCTGCTCCCCAGGGCTGGAGTTCCTCTGAGCTCCACAGAACTGCCAGTTCCTCTGCTTCCTTGCTTCCTGCTGGCTTTTCCTGGGATTGCAGAGAGGAGGAATGGGCACATCCATAGGACAACTGAGCTGAAGCTCTTCTCTACCTGTGTGACACCACTCCTCTGCCACCCTGATTCCCTGGGCAATGCTGCTGTGGTGGCTGTCAGCCTATCCCAGTTTTCTGACCTTGCCTGGGTGCACCCCTGTTGTGCTGCTGTGCTGGGAGAGAGCACGCTGAGGAAGAGGCTGTCATGAAGGACCACATGGGTAAGTGAGACTGAGGACAGTTTTCTGCATGACTCCTGATTTGAACACAATCACCGTGAATAAGGCAAATTGGCATCAGAGGGATGTGCTGCCCTGGAGAGCTTTGGAGCAGCTCCTGCAGAGCTCTTGGAAACACTATAGATTTGGGCTTTTTGAAAGAAGTAGACTGGAGTTCCTCAGTGTCTGCTGAATTAAGCTAAAGGTGTCTTGAAGTGACCACCAAGAACGAGGTGCACACTGCCAGGACCTGTGTGTTGAACCATGCAGATACAAATCCCTGACTCCATTGTTGTAGGCACTTCACTTGGCTTTGTTACCTCGCTGTCCCAGTCAGGGAAATGGGAAACTTGGATTTAGCCTCTGTGCTGCTGGCTGTGTGATCTGGAGATGAGACATTTAATCTCTTCTCTTCCCTTTTCAGTTAAGCTGTCAACAGCCAGACCAACTTGACAGTGGACTGTGGGGATTAATGAGTTTGTTTGCTCAGTGCTCTAGAAATCTGAAGCATGAAATTAGTGTTTACAAGGCATTTGCTACAGATTAATGAAGCAAAGAGCATCTTTCAGCATCTCAAGCTGTACAGCCTCCCTGCCATGCAGGGAAGGATCTTGGCATTCAGGGGTTAGATGAATAAAAGGAGTATGGCACATGCCTTTGGAGTGTTGGGAGAGATGGAGGCTTGAGGATAACAAGAGATGAGAGCTGTTTTAGAAATGCTGTTTTGTGTCCCTAGAGCCGTAGGTTTGGTTACAGGCAGGATCACAAATCTTGTTTGTTCCTTCCCATGTACTGCCTGCATTTCCCTGACAAGACCTGGAAAGCTGAATGGCTTATTATGTGGCACTGCCTTAAAGTGCTCATGATTTATATTTGAGGAATCCAGGAATTTGCTCTGGTTTTAGCTGTACAGCACACCCTCCCCCCTTCCCTGGATCTGCTGTGCTCCCTGGCAGCTGCCCTAAACCCTGGAGTGCTTAGTGGCTCTGCATGTATCTAATTAGGTAAGTGCTTGGGATGTTATTTGCATAGAAATATTACTCCAGGATATGGTACAACACTGGGGTTTGCTGAGTCAAGGCAGTTGTTCAGCTGGGATAGCCAGAGTCTTGCCTGTTCTTACATCCAGTCCCTTGGATGGGTATGTTGGCAGGAGAGGAGCCTGAGCAGAGCTGGATGAAAGACTGCTGAGATCAGGGCAAGGAAATAATGTAACATGCAGCCACATGTCACAGAGCTGCGAGATGGCAAGTTCTGGGCTCTCTGCAGAGGAGTCAGTTTATAGAGGGGAAAGGGGTGTGTCTGGAGTGACTTTTCCCCATTCCTGAGAAGCCATGCTCCTTGCACATTGGTACTGGGAGCTTGCCTGGAGCCACAGGGATGGCACGTGACCAAATGGCATATGGGAGTGCTCATGTCAGGAGCAACACAGGTCAGTGTGGTCCTGCTTGGCTTATCAGAGAGGGAGCTGGAAAATTGAGAGGAACTGAATAAACTGATCCCTGTGACCATGTACTGATGGACTTCAATGTCTCAGATGAAGCTGAGTCTGCAATCCTACATTAATGGAAAAGAATCTTCTATTCCCTTGCTGCTTGGTAACCCCTCGATACCTCTTGAGCTTCACATCCTCTCTGCTGGCATCTGCTTTTCCTAATGGATTTGCCTTGGTATGCTAAAACTAAAACAGCTTTGGTTTGCTGGGGCAGAGTGAAATGGACACGATGTTTTGTCTGTCAGAAAATACTCTCCCAGCCCGGCCCACCAAGGAGTCTTCAGGCTTCCAGCTACACCACTCCCATATCCTGAAAGCAAAGGCATTCAAAATGGAGGTCATGAATGTTTAGAGGGCAGTTGATATATAACTTTGCTGTCATTGCTTCTCCTTTGTTCCAAGTTGGCATTTTCTTTAAAAGGAAAAAAAAATACTGCAAGGTTAAAGGACTTCTCTTGGCAAAAACAAAACAAAAACTTAGGGAAAAAACATCTCCCAGTGGAGACTAGTTATAATTACAAATATGGCAGTGGTTTTGACATTAAAGCATAGGCTGCAGCTGAAACTTTTGCTGACCAGCATGTAGAGAAGAAAAAGTTGTGGTATTTTGAGCAGTCTGAGCTGTGTACATGTATTCGCATGAGCTTTCAGGATGGTAACAGAGCTGAACATCCAGCCCACCTTTCTGTGTGTCTGCTGCATTTGCTCCTGCAGCAGTGAGTGGCTGCAGCTTCGTTTGTGAGGAAACGGCACCAGCAGCCTCTTGCTTTTGAAGGGAGGAAGTGTAATTTTCTGGTGGTGTAGGCAGCCGGGAAAACCTTCCTGAGCTCATCACAGACTTCCTCTGCAGCTTTGGGAAAGCTGCATGAGGGGCTTTGAGAAGGGGCTGGCTGCTCTGCTGTGTGGCACCAGGACAGGTTGTGTCGGTGTTCCAGGAAAAGGCAGTAAAATCCAGAGGAGGATGGAGAAAGGAGGTTCATGCAGCCCCTCTCTGCAGGTGCGTGGTGCCACCTCACCTGGATCCTGGACAGCACCTTCGGGATGGGGAATGCATTCCCTCCTCTAGTCTGAATTGTCCTTCTGTGTTGGTCTCCCAAGCTTTGGTCTCTGTGGTCCATTGGGGTGGCTTTGCTTGATCCTAGACCTTTCTGGAGTGCATCCTCCCGTGAATCCAGCTAGCAGGCACACCAGGCTGCTGCATGAGGAGATTTTGTAACAAAGCTGAGGTCCTTGGCAGGAAGGAGCTGTAAGCAGTGCAGCGTGATGCTGTTTTCACACGTTGTACCCACACGCACATGCAAAAGGCATAACTAACTCCTTCCTGCATTTCTCCCCCTCTTTTGAAAGCCTGCAGACTTCTCTATCTTTCTGCCCTCTGCTTCCCTGGTGAAGACAGCTAATCAGTCCCTGTGGCCATGTTGAACCCCCACAGGGCTCCAGGGGAACAAGTGAAATGGGTTGGAACAAATGGATCCCCTGAGTTGGAGACTTCTGAGATTCCTCTGTGTGCCCTGAGCACCTTGCATTCAGCTCCAAGGGCTGCAGCTGAGGACTCTTTCTTGTGCACTGTGAATGTTTGGGGAAAAGCAAGGACAGAAGTGCAGTTGAAGATCTTCTGTGTCACCCCAGATTCCTTAAGGTGGTGCAGGGAGGTTTGTCTAAGGATCCTCATAGAGCCACCTGTATATGTCCCTTCTTTCTCTTGAGGTGAGGGATCTGTCTCCCCATCCACCACTGTTGTGCCAGTGGCCTTGGAAAAGCAAGTTTGGGGTCATGTCGTGCAGTGTTTGGTGCAGCAGTGTGTGGTGCTAATTGAGACATGGCCCTGGTGTTTCTGCAGCCTTTAATCTCCAGGGCAGAAGTGGGTAACGAGAGACAAGAATGACATTTTAATTTCCTGGTCACCACCCATTTGGGACTCGCTTTCTTTTTTTAATTGCAATTTCCCTTTGGTTTTCTGTCCCGTTACAGCCTGAAATCTGCTTTGCCAAGGTTTTGTTTATCTAGGGTCTTAGGTGTTGAGTTGTTGTAAGGTTGACTGTCCTTGGAATCTACATGTGATGGCATAGGGGCACTTTTCTTCTGCACTTCATGTGGCTATTTTGTGCTTTCTCATTTCAGAGACTTTGATTCTCTCTCCAAGGATGACGTCTATGAGAATAATCGCTTGGTAAGTTCCTGTTCTGCAGTGCACAGGAGGAAGAAATTATGTGAGAATGACTTGATGGAGGTCATGTAGTGTGGGAGGAATTTGTGACAGTGCTGAGGATATAAGAAAAATCTGTGTTTGTAAGTAACAGGCAGGAGCTTCTCTGGAAATGAGGGAATCTGAAACATCAGCTTCCAGCCTGTTTATCCTAATGGTTGCCAAGACAACATCTCAGGTGAAGATTTGAATGGTGCAACATCTTGACTTCAGGTGTTCCAGATTTGCAGGCAATGGAAGCAGGAAGCTAGTTTTACTTCAGGCATCAGCAGAGAGAAAGGTCATGCTAGACCCTGGTCTGCAATGTTCCTTTCCTGCTTGGGACAGCTGGAGCCCATAGCAGAAGCAGGCAGTGTGGAATGGGGAGGTGCCCAGCCCCAGGGGCTAGTGGTAGGACAGAGCAGCAATAGCCCTGCTTTTTTTAAATGACAGAAAGACCTAGTGGCTGCAGGCTCCATCTGATAGTCTGTGGAGAAGCATGGCCCTTCACCTGCTACATACAAATATCTTAAGGGTGGATGTTGAGGATGAGGCCAGACTCTTCAGTGGTGCCCAGCAACAGGAGAAGGGGCAATGGTTACAAACTGAATTACAGGAATTCCTCAGCTGAATATGAGGAAAAACATTTTTTTACTGTGAGGGTGACAGAGGACTGGACTAGGCTGTCCAGAGAGGAAGTGGAGTCTCTTGCTCTGGGAATATTTAAACCCCAACTGGATGTGATTTTGTGCCACCTTCTTTAGCAGGGGTTTGGACTAGGTGTCTGAGCTCTCTTTCAACCCCAGCCATTCTGTAATTCTGTGATTTGGGATTTACAGGATTAGGGCTGTCCAGCTGTGTCCTGGCACATCCTTTCCTACACCCCTTTCAGTCATTAGCAGCTTTTTCCATTCAAGACCCATGCAATGGGTATCTTGTCCTATTAGAGACCTCTCAGGTGGGATCTCTCTTCTCTCCTTGCTCCTTGCAGCCTTGTGTTTAGTAAGACTCAGTCTGGACAACTGACTTAAAGCCAGGCTGAGCAAAGCAGGATATCCATGGGGGGCACTTTTATGCCCCTAATTACTGCAAATATCTATTTTCTTTTGTTTCTCCATTACTTTCCTTTATAACTCACACCCTGCACAGCACCTTATGCCCCAGAGACTAGGCACCTTCAGTCTTTACCCACACCCAGTACCTTTACCTGGTGCACCTGGTACCTCACCATTCAGTGCCCAAACCACTCTCATCTCTTCCTGACTTATTTTTCCTCAGTCCCTGCCATAGTCTTGCACCCCTGTGCCTGGGAGACCACTGGGGGTATGCTGCCCTTGGCTCAGCAGAGGGATGGCCAGTGTAGAGACAGTAATCCACACATACTGACAAGTGGGAAACTCTCCAACAGCTTTTTTTTCTCTTCCATTCCTTCCTTTTGCGTTTGCAGTTGGAGGAGATGGGTGCTTCTTATCACAGTGTCCTTGTTTCTGCTTGCTCAGACACAGAAAAGTACTGGAAGTACTGGCTTGTGCATGGCAGGGTACTGGATGTGGAGCTGGGATGGCTCTACTGATTGTGGGAGGGGAAGGTGAGGTACCCCAGAGCATGAAAGGATGGGCAGTCAGTGTTTCTGTGGGGTGAGCATTTGGGGTGGCTGGGGACACTGCTCAGTAGAGCTCAGTGTCACTGGAAGTACCTGCCAGCCCTTGGCCCTTTGTGGTGCCAGCCAAGACTCTGCCAGTTCTTGCATGAGGGCACTGCTGGTTGAGCTGAAAAAACACTGGGTTTTTTTTCAGTGAAAACTTGAAGGGAACCTTGCTTCTGTTGCTTCTTTTTTTAGTCAAGCAGCATGTCTGGAAGCCTCTGTCCATTAGGGATGCCATAGGCTCAGTATTTAACCTCCCTTGTGGTTCTTCCAATTTGATATTTCTTTTACTTTTCATGAAGCATCAGTTTTCTTCCCTTAGTGCCTCTTGTTCCTGCAGGCCTTTGAGCTGGCAGAGCGGGAGCTGGGCATCCCAGCCCTGCTGGATCCCAATGACATGGTCTCCATGAAGGTGCCCGACTGCCTCAGCATCATGACTTATGTGTCTCAGTACTACAACCATTTCAACAACCCCAGCCAAGGTGAGTGTCCTCCCACCCCTCAGGCTTCCAGTTTGTCCCTGTTTGAGTACAGGAAACCCAGCACAGCCTTGTGCTTCCTCCTTCCTGTGGCAACGGGGAGCTGTGTTTGTGGGGAAGGGGAGAGGAGCAGGTGGTACCTGCCTCTCCTGCATCTTGCTGGTGCCCCTGAGGAGGGCCTGGAAGAGAGAGTGCGGTGGGGTGAGGTTTCACAGGAGGTGTGGGGTGATGTAATAGCTCAAGCTGTGGAAAAAGAAACGCCTTTCTCCTCCCTCTGCACTGCATTCCTGCCAACTTGGGTTGGGCCACCACCCCTGATGCTCATCAAAACTCTTTGTGATCTGCTCTAACCCACTAAAATAGGAGAAAGCTAAGTAGGAGCCCATCTCCCACAGCTAATCTTTATGACATGGGTACATGTAAAGTGACTGGAGGACATAGGGAGTGGAGCCAGGCTGGAATGTTTCAAATCAGCTCATCTGTCCCTGCAGCTGCGGCCTGAGCTGAGTGCTTTGAGACAGCTCTTCCCAGGCATCCTTTGGCTGGGTGGAGATGAAAGCTCCACGTCTCCCCTATTTCAGTCAGTAGCCACAACATGAGATAAATCTCTTCCACTTGTATATGCTTCTCCAGGGATGCTGGTCTCCCAGACAAGGAACCCTGCTGGGGACTGGTGTGTGGGCTCCAGCCCCGACAGCAAGAGATGCTTCACAGACCTGCTGACAGCCTGGAAGCCCTGGGGCCCAGTGGGTCACCACAATACATCAGCAGCTGCCCCAGCTGCTCTGGGCTTTGAGCGTTGCTTAGGGAGGCAATTACAAGGAAGCCAAGTAACACGTGATGAGTAAATAAAATCACAGTGAGAGGCTGGCATCCCTGGGCCACAGAAGGGGATCCAGAGCAGGCCAGGCTCTCTGGCAGCCTCACAGCTGACCCATTATTAGATTGTGTTTGTCTCTTCCACCTAAAATAAGCACTGAAGTTTTGGGAGAGGCAGGTCTCATCCTATGTCACAAGGCTGGATGATTTTATTTTTTTTCCCCTCCCCTTCCCGCACATGGGTGGTGTGAGTCACCACTGCTCTCCACGCCTGATCCTCCTTCCCTCTTGCCTCCAGCCAGCGTCCCTCCGCCTATGAAGCGACCAACTGCTGCCTCCTCTCCTTCTCTGCTGTCCCACAAGACCCCTGTGGCTGCAGCTGAGAGTCCTTCAGCACCACAGGTACCTGATTTCTTGGTAAAGTTTCCAAGACAGCCTGAGGCAGTGGTACCCCCTGTGCTGTGGGTGAGGAGATGGGGAAAAGCCTGTCACAGAGCCATGTAGGGGCCTGCCTGTGTATTTTGGGAGGGGTGTTTGGGATTTTGTTTCCTTGTGGGATCCAGCTGAGACTCTGAGTCTGTGGACTGTAATTTGTCCATAGCAGACAAGAAGTTGGGCAGATTAGTGCTGGGTGTCCTTCCTAGGTGGGGATAACCCTGTACATGAGGAAAGAGCAGGAGTGTGGAACTGGAAGGGCAGAAAAGATGCCTTTTATTTCAGTTTTTAGCAGTTGTCTGGGATAGGACCTTTTTCAATGTTTCACAGGATCCTGGTGCATGGGGTATAGATTAGTCCCTTCCACCTTAGACCTTCAGCTGTAGACAGGGCCAAGGCACCTTTGGAAGTGGCCCCTTCTAATTTGGGAAGAGGCAGCCTGCCTATGCCTGGGCTTGAGGGCAGCTGTTCTGTGCATTGTCAGCCCCTGAGGTCAGCCCCTGAGCCGTGGGCCTTGCCCAGAGAGCAGCTGCTGTGGAGAATGCGTGCTCTGGGGAGCAGGCTGTGGCCCCGTGCTGAGCTCCTGTGCTGTGTCCCAGGAGGAGGCCCCCTCGGAGCAGCGGCCCCAGCGCAGCGCACTCAGCAGCACCTGCGCAGCCTGCCAGCAGCACGTCCACCTGGTGCAGCGCTACCTGGCCGAGGGCAAGCTCTACCACCGCCAGTGCTTCAGGTAGGTCGTGGCCAGGCCTGCTGGGGCAGCCTCTCCTCGGCACACGGGGCCTGCTGCACCCCATCTTCGAGTGTCTGCATCCCTGGGCAGCATGGAACATGAACAACAGTGCTTGAAATGAGAGTGAAGATGTTCCATTTGCCTGCCAGCCCCCTGTCCCAGAGGTCTGACTAGCCCCTTGTGTCCCTGTGCTCCATTCCTGTCCTGCTCCCTGCCTCCCTTGCTGACTTGTGCTCTCCCACTTCATTTACTTGGAATCCCAGCCTCTTGAGCTTCTCCCACCTCCATAAAATAGGATGCTCTACCTCTTTGCCACCTGCCTACTCAGGACCACCCCCCATCCCCTTCCACTGAGGTCTAAGCCATGACATCATCCTACAGACCTCCTTCCACCTACACTCCACATCCTCAACTGGATATACAGGCTTCCATGCTGCCTGGGTGGTGCTGAGCTCCCAGGGAGCATGTGGAGAGCTGCAGACTCTTAACAAACTGAGCAATGAGCAGCTCTCTGGTTACTCCCTGAGTACAGGTCCTTACCTGCAGCACCTGTGAAATCATTTCACTCTGCTTTCCCTGCTGTGATGATGAAGAAATGAGATCTCTCCCATGGGCCACAGGACAAGGGTTGGCATCTGGTCAGAAACATGGAGCCACTGGGTAGATGTGGGAGGCCTCATTCACCTGCCTAAGCTAGTTGGCAATGTGCTGTAGAAACAGTGTCACAGGAGGGCAGCTGAGCTGAGGTCCATCAGGCTTCCCATCTGCAGCTGGGACGAAAGCAGGAGTTTTGGGCTTCAGGTGCAACCTGCACTGTCCTCATGGGCCAGGAAAAGGAGAGGTGCCATGTCTGCCGTGGCACAGCTCATAGCCCTTCAGACTGAGCAGGGAGATCCCTGTAATTTAATCCCAAATATTTTGCCTCCTGATTTGTTTTCTTGTCTATTTTCTGGTTTGGTTTTTTGTTTTTTTTTTCCTGTGCTGATTCATGGACAGTATTTGGTCAGAAATGTCCTGTGGCAGTGGTTCCTGTGGGCTGATGGAGATAAACCCAAAGCAAACCACTTTCTCCCCTTGTCTGAGCTTTCCACCTCCTCATTTCATCCTACCCCTTCTCTCTAGAGTCCCTCTGCACTCCATTTTAAAGGAAATCCCTTTCAACTGGATGCCCAGAGCAGAATTCCTTGCCAAAATTATCTGCTGGCAGCGTAGGGCAGCCAGCTGCTGCAAGCACCAGGTATTCAGACAAGAAGGAACAAGCTTGGTTTTCATGGGAGTGCTTGATCAGCCCCTTGCCTTTGGCTGTCTTTCATGTATGCTATCCACCTCTCTTCCCAGATGGAGAAGGACTGACTTGCTTGCCAGTGTTTGTGCCATCACGCTTGTGCCTGGAGGGATTCATTAGGAAGCATTCAGAGGCTCATTGGGGGAAGAGTGGATGATCCAGGGAGATGTGGCAGACAGCAAAGGACAGGGAAGCTATTAGCTCAATTTCAACAGGCAAGGCAGAGTGTAAGAATGGCCCTGCTGCCTAAGGCCCTTGTCCTTCCAGCCAAATGCTGTGGCCCAGCTGGATGCCATGGTCAGCATTACTGAGGCTGAGCATGAGACCAGGCCAGGCTCGTGTGTTCCTTCTCCTGAATACTCTGGAAGCCTCCCATGCAGGAATTTCCCAAGTGGAAATTGATGTAGTTTTATTTAATAATCAGCATTGGGGACCGGTTGTTTTACAAACAAATGTGTCTGACGGCTCTTTAACGTGCCAGGACCCTTGGCCCCTGCAAGGCAGCCCGTAGCCTCCTGTGCCAGTTCTGAACCAGTTGCTCCCTAATTCCAGTTGATATTCACTGTTTCATGTCTGTGAATGGTTGATCCCTCTCCCCATTCCAAATGTGGAAACCACACCATATCCCAATACCAGCTGTCACCCTTGCACATCTGTTAAATCTTTTCTGAGATGAAGGAAGAGCCGAAATGTGTGCAGTATTTGAGCTCTGAACTTGCCATGGCTTCCTACAGTGGCCTGCTTACATTTCTCTACTTATTTTCTGAATTACTTCCCCAAGGGCACTCTAGGATTTAATAGCAGAGGTAAGAACTAACTCTGTGTCCCTACAAGGGTCTTCCAGGTGTGTTGCCTTCTGTGAAGGGCAGGATGGCATCCCCCATCTCATGGTGCTCTCTCTTCTCCTTGGCAGGTGTAAGGAATGCTCCAGCACGCTGCTCCCAGGGTCATACAAGCCTGGGTCAGAGGCAGGGACTTTTGTCTGCACGCAGCATCGTGGTAAATTGGCCGTGAGCGGGAAGGCAGAGAGGAGACCCAGCCTAGACCGACAGTCACCAGAGCTAAGAACTGAGACTGGGGCTGACAGCATGGGAGAGAGTGCCCTCCCGGCAGGAGCAGAGGTGGGGAAGGATGATGCTGACTCCCAGGAGAGTGTGGCAGAGACCTCTACGCCTGCAGAGGGCCTTGCTGGCCCAGCAGAGAAGGACAGCACAGCCAGTAAAGCAGAGACACCGGCAGCCCCTGCTCATGCTGGCAGTGGGGCACCTGTCTCCCAAACTCCCCCCAGGCCTCCAATCCCCAGCAAGCCTGCAGGGCTCACCCAGGACAAAGCCAGCTCGCTGGATGGACGGCTCAGAGACCCACGTCCCACCCCAGCCCCAAGGAAGGCCACCGATGCGTCTGCCCTGTCCCCTCCAGCCTCCCACCCTGTCCCCCGGCCCAGGTCCACTCTGCAGGGCGAGGGCAGCGAGTGTGGGCCTGGAATGGTGAACGGTAAGAGGGCAGGATGGCGGCAGGGGTTACCTTCCACATCCTCAGTGGCTGAGGTGCTTGACTGCAGGTTGGCTGAGTTCCCTTCCTTCTCTGCAGCCTGACACTCTTCTGCCTCCAAATAAATCTTGGGCTCAGACACCAGGTCTTTGATTGTCAACAATTGCCATCCATCCCCATAGCAAGGAGAACAGAACTAATTTTCCTGCCTGTCTGCTCCCTTGTACTTCTCCAGAGCTCTTCAAAGGCAGCAAGCCAGTGTGGAGGGAAGTTGGTAGAGCTGGAGGAGTTTGCAGGTGTGGGAGCAGAGGGGCATGTCAGTTCTCCAGGTGCAGCTCCCAGGGAGAAGTGGGGAGAAAAAGGCAAAGGGGATGTTTGCAGTTAGCTGGCTGCATCGACTGTGGGAGAAATGCCATGGGGTCTTCAGTGAGTGGGAATAGCCACCTTCCTGTGGGAAGGTATCTAAGGTGCCTCATGTTGGTTTAACCTCTTTGTTCATGTCCTTTTGGTGTTGTGACAGTCTGACTATGTCTTTCTAGGTCGGGTACCTGAAACCAGCCCCCCAGTCCCAAAACCTCGAGGGAGACCCTGCTCCTCTGATCGGTACGTCCCTCTGCTTGCAGATCACCTGAGAACTCCACAGCAAGGCGGGGCTGTGGGGACAGCACAGCTGTGCTCTTCTCTCTCACCTCCATCAGCTCCTGCTCTTAGGAGCATGTAGGCTTTGACCAGGTTCCTTTTGCAATAGGAGCTAGCCCAGCATGGTCAGACCAACAGTGTTCATCCATACCTCCCAGGCATTTTATTGTAAAGAGTTTGAGAGCTTCAGAAGGGTGTTTCTGTGGCACAGGCAGATTGCCAAATGCCTTCTGAAATGGCCCTGCGTGTGGGTGCTGAGAAGGGGACATTTGTCTGCCTTGTGGAGGGTTTGTCCTGGGAAAGGTGGGAAGACTAGCTATGCCCGTAAAGCTCAGCCTTTACCACTGCTTAGCAGATGGAGGCTGTAATATTCAGACACCAAAACACTGGGCCCAGCAGGCAAGTCAGGCAGGCTGTGTTTCCCTAAGGCCTGTGGGTTTGCCCACAGAAAATGAGACACTGTGTCTGGGGAAGCCTAGGGCCATCCTTGGATGAGAAAGCTCCTTCTGTATGGGAGACATCCTGCTCCATCTTTCCTTTCCCCCAAGGGCAAAGTCTCTCTCCAGTTCCTTGCTACCCCACCTTGTCTCTGCCATCTTGATTTCTCTTTCTCTTCTGCCAGTGGTGGAGCTACTGCAAGAGCCAAGGACCCACCATGGATGGCCTTAGTGCAAGCAGAGCCCAAGAAGAAGCCAGCTCCCCCTCCTCCCCCAGGCAACAGCCATGAGACTCCAAGTAGGACTTCAGAGGAGGAGGATGGAGAGGAGGTGGGGAAAGCCAGGAGTGAGGAGAGCAGGTCTGATGCCACAGAGCCCAAATCGTACAACCCCTTTGAGGAAGAGGATGAGGAGGAAGTGGAAAGTGCTGATACCCAAAAGAGCACCCCTGAGCAGGAGCAGAGCGAGACTGCTGCCAAACCTCTCCACCCCTGGTATGGCATCACTCCTACCAGCAGTCCAAGGGCAAAGAAGCGGCCAGCTCCACGAGCCCCCAATGCTTCCCCGCTAGGTGAGCTTCCTCCCGCTCCTTTATCCCTCCTCTGCAGCCCCTGTGTATCCCCTTGGAGGTTCCCCCTTCCCAGATGCCTCTGCATCACCCTGGTAGGCCAAGCCTTTATGCAGTGATGGTTGCATTAGTTTGCATTAGCCATGTCCTCTCTACCCACTGGAGAACAGCATCTGCAGGCAAGATTTTACGCTGACCCTTGTGTCCAGTGTATGCCACCCTCCCCTTCTGTCCTGGCTGTCTCTTCATTCCTCCCTGAGCTCTCCCTTTGCTTTGCAGCCCACCACCCCATCTCCAGGCTGTCACACTCTGAGCCATCATCCTCCACCCCATCTCCAGCCCTCAGCCTCGAGAGCATCAACTCTGAGAGTTCAGCCAAGGTGCTGGGAGACACCGATGAGGCCTCAGTGCCCAAAAGCTCCTCTGAGCCCACTGTGCACGTGCCAGCAGCTGCCAAGAGTTCCAGCGCTGATGTACCGCTGGCCAGCGTCTCCTCCGGGGAAAGCCCTGCTGTCCCAGCCAGCCTCTCCACCAACTCCCCCTTCTCCTCCTCCAGTGAGCTGGCCAGCCTCAGTGGGGAGACGCAGCCCAGCACCCTGCACAACAGCAGGAGCATCTCCACTGGCAGCCTAAAGACCAGCCCCAGCCGGCTGCCCCCCAAGCCTCCAGCTGGGGCTAGCCCTACACCAATCCTCTTGGCTTCAGATGGGGGTTCTGGGAGTCCCAAGACATCTTCCTCACCCAAACCACAGCTGAAGGTGAGATGATGACCTTCTCCCCATCCAGATCTCAAGGTTTTTCTTCCCCATCCATCACTCGGTCACAGGGGATCTGTGGGTCCAGGCTTGCCCCTTTGCTTGATGTGTGACCCCCTGAAAGCAAGCTTCAGGCCTGTGTCAAATAGTGGCTCTGCTTTACTCTGCCTACCCCGTGTGCTAGAGAAGAGGCAGGATGTCATGTAGTCTGAGCAAATAGGAAGGGGACCGTGAAGGAAAATATTTCAGCATGCTTGTGAGAGAGAGGCTGGGAAACTGATGTCAAACAGAAGCACAGCTATTTTTTTGACTAGGTGCTTGTGGAGATGAGTGTTGTGTTCCTCCTTTAGGAGGCTGTGGGGCAGGACAAATGCTAGCACTGCCCTGTCTACTCATTGCTACCTGTTGGGATCACTTCCCTTCCCTGGATGCTCATGTATCTGCTTTTGTCTGCCCTCTCCAGTCTTCCTGCAAAGAGAACCCATTCAATCGGAAGCCATCGCCTGCTGCTTCCCCCTCAGCAAAGAAACCGCCCAAGGGCTCCAAGCCTGTGCGTCCTCCTGCGCCAGGCCACGGCTTCCCACTGATCAAACGCAAGGTAAAAGGGCCCTGGGGAGCGAGGAGGGAAAATCTGGCTCTGTGCTATCCCCCAGGGCTGCAGCAGTCCGCAGGCACCCTGCTGAGGCATGTGTGGGCAGGGATTACAGCAGGTGGCTGGGGCTGGGGAGGAGGGGGTGTAGGCTACACCTTGTTCATGAAAGCACCGTCACCTTCCTTTGCTCCAGAGCGGGGTGGGATTTCAGGTCCACACTTCGATGGAATATTCTGTTGTCCCTCTGCCCTTGCTAGTGTTGACCAATGTCTGGATTACCCCTGGAAACAGGAGTCTGGTGGTAATGAAAGTGTCTGACTTATGGTTTGGCAGGTGCAGACAGATCAGTACATCCCTGAGGAAGACATCTATGGGGAGATGGATGCCATTGAGCATCAGCTGGATGAGCTGGAGCACCGTGGGGTGGCCTTGGAGGAAAAACTGCGCAGTGCTGAGAATGGTATGTGTGTTGGGCTGTCTGTGGGTGTGGGGCAGGACAGATCCTAGGGCTGCCCTCTCTCCAGTCGAGGAAATAGCAACAGTGACTTCTTCCCTGCTGATGCTGGGGTTGAAAGAGCACAAGAGGCTGTGCTGACCTCCAAGATTAGTCACAACCTTACCCTGAACATGGAGATGTCCCTAGAAAGGAAACAGGTGGGAGAAGAGATAGGGTCTCTCTGAGCCTCAGAAATAGCCTGAGGTTGGGTTGGCTCCAGCCCAGTGCCTCTCCCCTGGCTAGGCAGAGCCCAGCCTGTTGCAGGGTGATGGGATCCACCAGGGCTGGGAATGGCTCTGAAACTGCCCCTTTGCTTGGCAGACAACCCTGAGGACAACCTGCTTGTGGACTGGTTCAAACTCATCCATGAGAAGCACATGCTGGTGCGCCACGAGTCGGAGCTCATCTACATGTAAGTGTGTGCAGGTGTGTGGAGAGGCACTGACACTTTCTTGGGGAGCCCTTTCTCAGCCCTCCTGAAATGGTGCTTCCAGGGGAGATCCTGACCTGGCCTTGCCTAAAAAGGGAGGGAGTAAGGGCAAGCAAATCTGTCCAGATGTGCTGAGACCTGACCCACAGTGTGTCACCAGAGCCTCTGCAGCAGCTACCCCAGGAAGGCCTTGAGCAGTCAGGGCTGGTCCTTACTGGTCCTTGGTCCCCTGGCTATACAGGGCAAGATCAGCATCTTGATGGTTCTTTCCAAGCTCACCCTGTACTTTGGGATGACGTTCCACCTCTCTGGAGCTTTGCAGTGCTTCCCAATATTTCCCCCTTCCTTTGCAGCTTCAAGCAGCAGAACCTGGAGCAGCGGCAGTCAGACGTGGAGTATGAGCTGCGGTGCCTCCTCAACAAGCCAGGTAAAGCACCACTCTGGGTATGCTTGCCCCTTTTTTCATAGAACCATAGACTATATTGAGTTGGAAAGGACCCACAAGGATTTTTCCCCTGGGCATCATCTCCCCTCTCTCTAGGTGGATCTCAGGTGAAGAGAGGCAGATCTGTAGGGATGCTAGTGCAATCAACTGGCTCTAGAGGCTCTGTCCCATCTCAATATATGTCCCAGTCTTGTGCAGGGATGTGCTCTTGTTGTCCCCAGGGAATGCCACATGCAGGGCTCTGTCCCCATAGCACTGCTAGCCCAACTGGCCCTGTAACACGGCAGGGTAGAGGGGATTGTGCTGGAGATCTCTGCCCCAAAGCCCTGAATTTCAGTGCTCCTTCAGCCATCTAACTGCTTGTCCTTCCCTGGGGTTTGGCTGGGTAGAGAAGGACTGGACCGATGAGGACCGAGGGAGGGAGAAGGTGCTGATGCAGGAGCTGGTGACCATCATTGAGCAAAGGAACGCCATTGTGAACTGCCTGGATGAGGACCGGCAGAGGTGAGTGAGGAATGGGGTGAGCTGGGGGAGAGGGGAGAAGCACAGCCTGTCTGACTCAGTGCCACATGAGTGCTTTGTGGGGGTGTCTCAAGATGTCCATGTTGCTGATGTCCTTCCCAGGCTTCCCAATCCTTGTCTCTTTGAATGCTTTGTGTGGGAAAGACAGGACAGCATGTGCAGCCTGAGGGATTTATCCTGCTGGTTGCAAATTCTCACAAGACAGTGATGGATCTGCCCCTCTATGGCTTCTAAGTAGGAGGCTCTCTAGCCTTAAACAATACAGCAGCTGTTTTCAGGGCTGAATTCCTGACCTCTTTCCCATTCTTTCTTTCAGAGAAGAGGAGGAGGATAAAATGTTGGAAGCAATGATTAAAAGAAAAGGTAAGAAACAAATACTTTTTGGAGTGATGTTTTCACTGCTGACCCCAGTAAGGGGCAGCACGAGCCATTTGTGATATTGTATGCAGGAGAGATTGAATCTATTCTGTATAGACTGGGGAGACTTTCCTGTAGGGCCAATAAAGTTAGAGGCACAGTTGTTCTGCACACCTCTGTTATCAGAGAAAGTGTGCACGCAGTGGAGGGCTTTGATTCATGGCTGTCACCCTTGCTTATTGTCATGAGCGTGTCTGTACAACTATTGACATCCCACAGTAACAACCTCCCTTTGCAACCCCAGAATTTCACAAGGAGACGGAGGCAGAGAGCAAGAAGAAAGGCAAATTCAAGCCCATGAAGGTGCTTAAGCTGCTGGGCAACAAGCACGACTCCAAGAGCAAGTCACCCAAGGAGAAAAGCTAGAGCAGGGGAACACCAGCAGTGGGAGGGAACCCCGACTCGCCTCTTCCCCTGCTCCCTCCCCAGGCACCCGAGCTGCTGCCCCAGGGAGATGCCAGCCCTCAGCCCAGAGTGGGTGAGAATGACCAAAGCCTTCCTCTTCCCAGGCTGTAGGGGAGCATGGCCATACCCTCTGTGAAGCCTTGTTAACAAAGTGGGGAGAAGACGGATTTGCTTTTCAGATACGTTACCCAATTGTGTGCTCCTGTCAATAACTGAGTTATTGACAAGCAAAGGAGTTTTGTATTTGAGGGAAAACTTGCACTAACTGCACACCGTCCCTTCTCCCACTCTAACTGTGACAGTTCCACGTGCCTCTGACTTCTGCCAGGAGGGGACTGGGCCTCCCTGTCCCTCCCTGCCTACCCACTCTTGTCCCTTTTCTGTTCCATTTTTAACTTCAGGAGAAAACTGACATTAGAATCAGGATCCTTTGGGTTTTACTGGCCTAAACTAAAAGGTTAAGAAAATACTCCTGCATCACAAGGCTCTAGAGCCATAGCCAAAAAAACAACTGGTGCCCTATTTATTTTGAGCCATCCCCTCCCTTGAGCGCCAGGGTGGGTGGCTCTGTCCCAAGGCTGAGAGGACCCAAGGGGATGGCGTGCAGCTGCTAGGATGTAGCTCACATGCCCTACTCAGGAACCCCACTGCTGCTAAACACTGCTGACTCTGCTGCCTTCCCGGGGAGGGAGGACCTGTTCCTTTTCCAGGCAAGGGCAGAAAAGCTCAAGACAGACTGACTGCTGGTGAGGGGCACCGAGCTTGTGTCCCTGCTCACCAGTGCCACCCTTGAGCGGCAGGGGAGAGAGGCACGGTCACAACTGACCTTTACCCAGCTTCAGTTGTGTATACTTTAAAAGTGTGCAGATGTGGCTGGTTGTTTTGTACACCTCCTTTACTAGATGAATTCAAACCTATCCTAAAACTTTAAACCTCTTATTTTATTTGTCATGTGTGTGCGTGTGTGTACATCAGAGGAGGGAATGTGGGGGGCAGTGTTCTTCCAACCATCCCTTCTTCCTTCCATTTTTGTTTCCTGCCTTCACTTCCAAGATGATAAGTTATTTATTGAATTATTGGATCAGTCTCAATGAGAGTTTCATGGGTGTTTGGTTGGTCAGCTGTTCATCATGCCTTCTCATTAGCAAATTAGACATAACCAGCCCTGAGCCATCTGCTGCAGTCTCTTCTAAAAACCCAACAGGCTTTAGCCAAAATGCTCTTGGAGCAGTGCCTTGCAGGGTGGCTGGTGTAGCATTCTGGAGAGGGATCCTCATTTCCCAAAACCAGAGGGACCTGAACCTCTCCTCAATCCCAGCATGGCCCCCGTGGCTGGGAGCTGGCCAGCTCAGCCCTGTGCTGGTAATGCCATCTCACCCTTGCCATACCCAGCAGGCTGATGAGGAACAGTGGTAGGGGAGGGGAGATCCCAAAGCACAACTCTTCTCCAAGGAGAAACAAATCTTTAGAGCCTGCTGCCACATCACTGTTGCCAAAGGCCACTGGGATCACTGCAGCCTGACACCCCTTGGCCCTGTGCCCGGTCAGAAGTTTGATTTGTAAATTATACTGTACTAACCCCATGACTTCCATTCACCTGAACAGAAATAAAAGAAACATTGGATTAAAAAAATGATTGTGGATTAGGTTTCTGATTCCTTTGTGCACTTGTGCTGTCCCAGGGCCAGGGCATGTTGCCTGGCTTTGGAAAGTGGCTGAGTATTGCTAAGAAGCAGAGGATGAGATCTTAAGGAAATTGGAAACTGGAGATTATGCTGGGATTTCCACAGGAAAAGTTGGACATCATGCTTCAGCCTGCTGGAGGACAGAGGGGCGGGTATTTATGAGGTGAGCAAACAGCCATTTCCAGTCTCTGTGGGAATAGAGTGGCTATTCTGCATACCATGCTTTCAGGAACCAAAAAAATCACAGCAAAGAGCAGCAGGCACTGGGGTGAAATCCCCTGTCCCTGCTTGGCACAGCTGTGTTCTGAGCCTCTGCCCACTGGGCTGCCACCAGAGGTTTGCTGATGCTGCAGGTCACAGTCACAGTGACCTGCCACAGTCACGTGCAGCAATGCCAAGGGCTTGTGATTGCACAAGGCTGTCCAGCTGCATTTCCTCCAGAGGCATTCCTGGAGTTACAGGGCCAGGAGCCAGCAGGTTACAGGTGTGGTGGCAGTGTGTATTACCATCATGCTGTCACGAGAAACTTCCATCTCTGGGTAGATGGGAAGGAATGACATTTCTATGGATGGATTGCTCTACTCTGAGGCACTGCAGAGGAAAAAGAAGGCTCTGCTTTGTCATGTTTTGGGAGCCGTTGCTCTGTGTTTTCATGTCTTTAATATTATTGAGCAAGAAGGGATCCACTGTGTGGGAAGGATTTTACAACTTCTGTCGCTGTGTATGTACAAATTGGTCCTGCCTTCTAGTTTCAGGCAACAGATGGTGCTGCCCCCTCTTTGGAAACAGACAGGAACCAGTGTCCGATGCCCAGAGTCTGGGAAGAATAGCTGGGAACAAATTGCACCTGTGTTTTGCCCTTGGCTTAGTCTTGGAGATTGGATTTGTTCCCAACAGGGAAGGCTTTTGTCATGATATTTCTCATTTCCTCACTTCTTTTCTTGTCAATGATCTCCATCTCATGCAATTTCTGCAAAGTAGAAAGGGGGAGAGCTGAGCAGAGAGAAAGCCAGCAGCTTTTTTTTTCTTCTCTTGCCAATCTCAAGAATAAAAACTCTGTTTCCCTGATTAAGTTACATGCAGTGATGGAAAGAAAGCTGGAAAACAGCTATCCACCATTCCCCAAATTCATGTCTGAGCTGTGCCATGAAAGGAAACAGCTCTTTACCCCCTTCCCTGCTCAGATACTGGAAAAGACTCTGCTTTATGATCCCTGATACATAAAGCATGGAATTTATGTATTCCCTCCATGCACTGTTCAGCCAAGGCCCTTGCATACCTGTGAGATTTCAGTGAGGACGATCCCTTGATACTTCTTACCCTGTCCTAGAGCTTCCATCTCTGCCAGGAATTCCCTCCTCTCTTGAATTTCATTCCTCACTGGTGGATAAGAGAAAAAACTGTGGACACAGCATCCAGCCAAAAGGCAAGAAACCACGTTTCTGTCTAGATCTGAACCCCCCCCCCCATTTCCTGGTTCTGCTTGAACAGCAGTCCCATCAAGGCAGGGTGATATCTGCTGTAACACTCACCTTGCACAACCTGTCATCACAATACCTCAGCAGTCCCTTACATAATGGGAAATGTTCCCTCTGCTCAACTTCTTACCACTCCCTGACTCCCAGGAACACTAGTTTTGTAGTTTTCTTTATGTAGACAATTCTCTTTTGCTTGTGGGCAATTTAACCAGTCTGTGGATGGAGACAGAACCTGCTGGTGAGGTTCATTAGTTGATATGCATCACCCAGTGACTGCAACCATCCAAGACCAGGCATGGATCATCAGCTGCCGCTTTGCAGCACAAACCTGCAGCCAGCTGATCCAAATCCTGTCACAGATGTGTCAAGGACAACATTCAGCCTGTGACAAGTGTTGGAGGCTACCAAGCACGTGTAAACTCAGCTGCCCTGGCTCCCTGCAGCAGGGATTATCCCTTCTGTACACATGATTCTAGCAATGCCCATCTTTGTGCTGCCCTGGCTGGCAAAGGGCTGGCAGGGCTGTACACATACACTGAAGATTCAAGCACAAAGAGATATTAGGCAGGGTTTTGCTATCCCAGTATACACTGCAGGCCAAAGTCTTTCATTCCTTCAAATTCTGCTTGATATTCAGGTTTTGCTAGTATAACAGCTTTGATCCTGGAGTGGAACAGCCCAAACTGTGGTCAGGCTAACAAGCAACCTGGTCTGTGTTGAGTCATGCTTGCTGGGAAAAGGACCAGCAGTACCTGAGCCTGCTTCCCAGGTATCCCTGCACATCCCATGGCTATTCCCCTGCCAGCAGGGTGCATTTTGTGTGGGCAGCCCAGAGAGCCATCTGCCAGCAAACCTGAGCGGTATAAGCTCTGTGAGGATGGCTGGATCAGAGTGTCACAGCAGCGAGTCCTTTCTCTAGGAAACTGGCCTTTGTGGCTCCTGTCATTGGTTTCAGGTTACTGGCAACACAGCCTGCCACCCCAGCCCTAGGAGGGAGCTGGCTTCCTAGGCTTCCTGCCTGCCACCCCAGCCCTAGGAGGGAGCTGGCTTCCCAGGCTTCCTGCCTGCCACCCCAGCCCTAGGAGGGAGCTGGCTTCCCAGGCTTCCTGCCTGCCACCCCAGCCCTAGGAGGGAGCTGGCTTCCCAGGCTTTCTGGCTGCCTCCCTCCTGGGGACATGCAGACGTACACTCCTCAAACCGGTCAGGCTCAGCTATCTCCTCTTCTTTTTTCCGAACAAACACCTGCTCCACCTTGTCCTCCACCTCATCCTTCCCTAATGCTAAGATCTTCTGAAGTCTTCTCTTCTCCTTTTCCAAATCTCCTGTGAATGCCAAAGGAAAAAAACATTATTATGAGCATGTCTCCTCATGGAGGAGCCTGACCACACTGCTTCCCTGCTAAGTGTGCCAGAGGGAGTGTTTCATTAATGTCAGTCCATCCCTGGACTGTGTGCAAGCACCTTGTACACAGGTGTACAGAGCCCACCAAACCAACACCAGAGGTGTGGTTCACATTTATGTGCTAGAAAATGATGTAGTGCTCCATTCTTACTCAAGGACAGTGCAGGTCCCTATCACCTGCCACCCCCCAGCTGGCAGGCAGAAGTCAGTGAGAACTTGCAGCAGATGTTCCCTCAGAGATCCATTTCTGAAGCATCTTTGCAGACTGAGGGCGTGAGGACGTGGAGCAATTCAGATACACTGCCACTGCTGGGATTGAGGCAGGGGAGGGACAGAAGAGGAAGAGAGGCTCCAGGCACCACCGTGTATTTATTAGCAATGTTTGCTGACTTACTTGTGGGCTGTGGCTTGAATTTCTCTCGGGTGTAGGCATCTCCTG